GAGATATGAGAGGGTATTTTCTATATATATACCTATACCAAACCTATTTTCCAAATTATATTATTTTACGGGTTCGGGTGGAATCTTACTTAGCTCTAAAGCTAATTTTTGTGTCTTTTGTCTTCTTCTCTTTTCTCTATTGTACAGATGATTATGATTATGAAGATTGATGTACTTGCTGCCCGAGTGTTCCGCTAGTTGCATACATTTGATTAATTATCGTTGTTTAAATTTGTAATTCATAAACTTTGTCCTAAGACCCATTTCATTGTTATTTGAACTTATGGTGGATAGCCTGTGCACTCAATCATGTATAGGTTGAGTGTGGCGGTGACGCACCTGTTTTTCCCTTAAAGACTTCCGCTGTATTCTAAATATGTTTAATAATAAAGATGGTTTCATTTAAAAATGTGATTTTATTTGGGTGGGAAAAATGAGGGTGTTACAAGTTGGTATCAGAGACCTTAGGTTCTCCGAAGGGATTAGAACACGAGGTAATAGGTCGTAGGGAGAAGTTCTGTCACCAAGACGATAACAGTCTAAGCTAGTTGGTTCTTAATTGAGCCTTGCGCTCGTCCAACTAACTGGGAATTTCTCCTTGTGCTGAAACTTCGTCGTTCGAAATCCTTGAAGGAAACTTTTGAAATTGTACCTCCAAATGGGAAATTTTCAAATATTTTTTTAAACTAGAAGAAATAATATAGCTAGGAAATGGCCTATTAGGAACGTGGTGAGGACCTTGTGAGTAATTCTTTTCGTTGCATGTATGTGATAATTGTGCTAATTGTGGGCCCATATGAGAAATGAGAACCCTAAATGTTGAAGGGAATGCCTCATAAGGCAAAATTCCAAAGTGGCCAAGGTATGTACAAACATTATGTGCAAAAGTGGTGTTATGTGAACTGTGAATCCTGTGTATAATAGTATGGTACGATTTTCATATTATCATGTTGTATAGCCTATGGAATCCTTAGTTGAAATAGGATCCTTAAGAGCAAAATAGGGAAATTCTTACACGAATATATTGTGTTATTAAGATATCATGGCACCGAGAAGAGACCCTGATAATACACCCACCAATGCTGAGCTGGCACAAAGCGTCCAACAACTTGCGCAGTTCATGCACACATTGGGTGCTACTGTACTCCAGAATCACCAAAATCAGAACAATGGAAATGATGCTGCTAAACGAGTAGCATCTCGCAACCCACCGAGCTTTCATGGGCAAGAAGATCCTCGTATCCTCGAGGATTGGATCCGACTCTTTGACAAACTCTTTGACGCGGTGAACTGTCCGGAAGAGCAAAAAGTTGACATTGCTGTTTATTACTTACAAAAAGAGGGGGATAACTGGTGGGTCTCATCAGGCCCAGCTCTACGTCAACAACCCAATTTCAATTGGGAAGCTTTCAAGATTTCCATGAGGAAACGTTTTTATCCTGCTCATGTCCAGGCCACCATGCATGAGGAATTCATACATTTGAAACAACTGGACATGAGTGTCCAGGAATATCACACTAAATTCCTGGACCTCGCGCCATTTGCAAAGACAATAGTGCCTGATGAGAGCACCAAAGTCAAGAAGTTTATTCGTGGATTAAACTTTGATACACAAAAAACCGTCGCTGTTTTGGGTTGCCAAACTCTGACGGATGCCTATGATAGAGCTGCAGTTCATTATCGTGTTCAGCAGTTACAAAGAGAGAGAAACCATAAAATGAAGAGGTACGGAGATGAGGAGAGAGGTCGGGGAGAAAAGAGGTTTAGGGCGAACCCACCTGCACAACAACAAGAACGGAGGGAGAGGAGAGATGACCAAAGTGGAAGAAATTTCCGTGGTCAAAACCAGCAAAACGATCGGAGAGCTGCTCCTAGAGATAGGCACTTCTACTGCAAGAAGTGCGGGAGAGATCACCCTGCGGTTAACTGTGATGGGAGCCTAACCAAATGTTTCAATTGCGGGAAGCTAGGGCACCGATCCTTCGAGTGTCTGTCAAAGACCAATGGGGCACCATTGAACCAGGTGCAATATCATGATGGAAACCGAACCAGGCCTAATGGCGGGCAAAACAACAACAATGCCGTCGCCATCAACAACAACCGCAACCCTCGAGGAGGAGGGGAGAATAATCACAGTCACGGTAATGGAGATAACCAAGGAAATGGCGAGAACAATGGCAATGGCGGAAATAACGGCAACCGTCCGAACCAAGAGAGAATCATGGTAATGAACCAAGCCCAAGCCAATGCCAATGATGTGGTCTCAGGTACATTCCTTGTAAATTCTGAGCCTGCTTATGTTCTATTTGATTCTGGTGCTTCTCACAGTTTCATATCTTCTAATTTCGTTAAGAGATTAAAGATTGAACCAACAGCTAGAATAGACTTGAATGTAAGAACTGCCTCAGATAAAATTGTAACTTGTGGAAATGTATACTCCAACATTTCTGTACTCATATGTGAGTCCAACCTACCCGGAGACTTAATCCAATTTGACTTAGAAGATATAGATGTAGTACTGGGCATGGACTGGTTGGGGAAGTACAAAGCTAGGATTCTATGTGATGAACAGAAGGTGATCTTGAAGGGTCAAAATGGGAAGAGAATATCTTACAAAGCAATCACAACCAAGCCCAGTATGAAGCTGATGACTATGCGACAATTACGACAACATATTCGAAAGAGGTATGAAACCTACTTGTGTTTGGTGAAAGAGGTGAATATAGAAGAGTCAAACATTGACCACATTGACGAATTTCCGGACGTATTTCCGGAAGAGATTCCGGGAATGCCGCCCGAGAGAGAAGTTGAATTCTCAATTGAGTTGATGCCCGGAACTGCACCAATTTCAAAAGCACCTTACCGGATGGCACCAAAAGAAATGCAAGAGCTGAAGGAGCAACTGGAGGAGCTATTAGAGAAGGGTTACATAAGGCCGAGTGTCTCACCTTGGGGCGCTCCGGTCTTATTTGTCAAAAAGAAAGATGGGAGTCTAAGGCTATGTATCGATTACCGGGAGTTGAATCAAGAAACTATCAAGAACAAATATCCATTACCCCGGATTGATGACTTGTTTGATCAATTAAAAGGGGCTAGCACGTTCTCTAAGATAGACTTGCGCTCTGGCTACCATCAAGTGAGAATAGCCAAGAAAGATGTACCAAAGACAGCATTCCGCACGAGGTATGGACATTACGAGTTCACTGTGATGCCGTTTGGTTTAACTAATGCACCAGCGATATTCATGGATCTAATGAACCGTGTATTCCGACCTTACATTGATACCTTTGTAATGGTATTCATTGATGATATCCTCGTATATTCAAAACCCCCGGAGGATCACGAGAAACACTTGAGACTCACATTGCAAACTTTGAGAGAGAACCAGTTGTATGCCAAACTCTCAAAGTGCGACTTCTGGCAGGATCGTGTAGTGTTCTTGGGTCACATTATCACCCAAGAGGGCGTATCCGTAGATCCATCCAAGATTAAGGCGATGATTGAGTGGCGTGCACCTACCTCGGTCACGGATGTAAGAAGTTTCTTGGGTTTAGCCGGTTACTATCGGAGATTTGTTAAAGATTTCTCCAAGATAGCAAGACCGTTAACCAACCTGACGAAGAAGACAACCAAGTTCTATTGGGATGAAGATTGTAAAGCGGCATTTCAAGAGTTGAAGAAAAGACTCACAACCGCACCGGTCTTGACATTACCGTCAGGGACGGAGGGGTTCGATATCTATAGTGATGCATCTAAGAAGGGGTTGGGGTGTGTGCTTATGCAGAATAGGAAAGTGGTGGCTTATGCATCAAGACAATTGAAGGTGCATGAAGTTAACTATCCTACTCATGACTTGGAGTTAGCTGCAGTAGTGTTTGCACTGAAAATCTGGAGACATTACCTATACGGAGCACAATGTAAGATATACACTGACCACAAAAGCTTGAAGTACATATTCACTCAAAAAGAGCTTAACATGAGGCAAAGAAGATGGCTCGAACTTCTAAGTGATTACGACCTGGAAATCCAATACCACGAGGGAAAAGCTAATGTGGTGGCGGATGCTCTGAGCCGGAAATCTGAGCACTCATGCCGAGCAACATGGATATTACCAGAAGAACTGTTCCGAGACTTTCAAAGATTGAACTTGGAAGTAAAACAATATGGCGAAGTAGATAGTGAAATACAGTTATGTACTATGACCGTTACACCATCTATCTTCGAGGAGATCAAGAATGGGCAACCGGGAGATGTGAAGCTCGAGAGAATCAAGGAAAGAATGAAAGATGAGGTCAATGGACCATTCAAGACACATGAAGATGGGAGCATCCGATACAAGGGAAGGTGGTGTGTTCCTCTGAAGTGTGCAGATATTAAAAGACAAATCATGGAGGAGGGACACAACACTCCCTACTCAGTACATCCCGGGGGAGACAAACTATACAAAGACCTCAAAAAGAACTTTTGGTGGCCGGGAATGAAGAGAGAAGTAGCTGAATTCGTATCCCGATGTTTGAATTGCCAAAAAGTCAAAGCAGAGAGATGTAAGCCCAAGGGACTTGTGCAACCCTTGGAAGTACCTAAATGGAAGTGGGATTCCATCTCGATGGATTTTGTTGGAGGGTTACCCTTAACTAAATCCGGAAGAGATAAGATTTGGGTAATCGTTGACCGATTAACCAAAACTGCAAGATTTATTCCCATGAATGAAACTTGGAGCATGGACAAGCTGGCCAAAGCCTATGTCAAATACGTGGTCAAACACTACGGAGTACCTCAAGACATCATATCGGATCGAGATTCATGATTCTTATCTCAATTCTGGAAGGAATTACAAACGGCTATGGGGACAAAATTGAAGTTAAGTACTGCTTTTTCATCCAACCACGGATGGGCAGACCGAAAGAACAATCCAAACGTTAGAAGACATGTTGAGGGCATGTGTTCTTGATTTGCAAGGATCATGGGATGAGCACCTAGACTTAATAGAGTTTTCGTATAATAACAGTTACCATGCTAGCATCGGAATGGCCCCGTACGAAGCTCTATACGGTCAAAAGTGTAGAAGTCCCTTATGTTGGGGTGACATTGTCGATCAGGTGGTTCTAGGACCACAATACTTGCAAGATACCATAGAGAAAGTCAAAGTCATCCAAGAGAGGATGAAGGCTGCCCAAGACCGACAGAAATCATATGCCGATCTTGGGAGGAAGCCAGCTGAATTCGAGATAGGGGAGAAAGTTCTACTCAAAGTCTCTCCTACAAGGGGAGTAATGAGGTTCGGGAAGAAAGGGAAACTAAGCCCGAGGTTCATCGGACCCTACGACATCCTAGAGAAGGTGGGAAAAGTGGCATATCGATTAGCTCTGCCCACAGAGTTGGATAAGGTAACAAACGATTTTAAAACAAGATACTTTTCAACGATTAGATTTCATCCTTAACATACAGAGTTGTGCTAGGTACATAACGTCTTTCACGTATCACAATTAAAGAAGTACGTTCGAGATGAGTCACATATCATCAATCCTGAGGTAAGAGACCCTAAACTTAACATGAACCAAAGTAAACTGGAAATAATATAAGTTAACCCTTATATTATTAGGTGATTGAAATGGATGAGGCGTTATCCTACGAAGAAAAACCCGTAGAGATCCTTGATACTAAAACCCGAGAGACGAGGAAGAAGAAAGTTAAGATGGTAAAAGTACTTTGGTCAAACCATTTGACCGAGAATGCAACATGGGAGACAGAAGAGGATATGCGTAAACGGTATCCTGAACTGTTCAACTAAGGTAAATATTGGGTTACGAGGACGTAACCTTTCTTTTAGGGGGGCAGGATGTAACATCTTATCAACTTGTAATACTTCATCTTCATACTTAATTCTCGTCTTAGTTTATGCTTCGAGGACGAAACATTCTTTAAGGAGGGTAGAATGTGATACCTTGAAAATTTGAAATAAAAATAAATAAATAAATAAATCAGATAAGTTATATCTGATAAATCAAATGAAAGTAATATAAAAATATTTTGTATTATACTTGGTGTATAAAAATATATGCATGCTACATGCAATAAAATTAAACACTTATGTGGCATCGAAAAAATAAAATAAAAAATAAAATAGAAAAAAATCAGATAAAACATAGATGACGGAATAAATAAATAAATAAATAAATAAATAAAAATAGTAAGAATATTAAAAATTACTAATAATAGCATCAAATTAATAAATGAAAATATCAGATCATAAAACAATGACACATGCTAGGATCACCTACCAAATAATGTATATACATTATATACATATTTTTACATATATAATTATATATATTTATATGTAAAAATTAAAATAAGAGAAAATAAAATAAAATAAAATTAAACATCAGAATAAATGGTAATCAAATCATGAATCAATACACATGCCAGGTTCATCAACTACCAACCTATCATATACATTATTATTATTATTATTATTATTATTATTATTATTATTATTATTATTATTATTATTATTATTATTATTATTATTATTATTATTATTATTATTATTATTAATATTATTATTATTATTCATACAATTATCAAATAAATAAAATAAACCATAAGGACCATCTAGACCTATAAATACACCCTCTTAGCCATCCCAAACACTGCAAATCGGAGAGATAGAAGCTATATATATACATATACATATATATACATAATCTCGCCGGAAAATTTATATCTATATTATTTTACGTATCAAACTTCGTAAAAACGATAGAGGAGGGTCGTGAGAGGTCTAGGAATACTCCCCAATAATTATTATTATTATTATTATTATTATTATTATTATTATTATTCATACAATTATCAAATAAATAAAATAAACCATAAGGACCATCTAGACCTATAAATACACCCTCTTAGCCATCCCAAACACTGCAAATCGGAGAGATAGAAGCTATATATATACATATACATATATATACATAATCTCGCCGGAAAATTTATATCTATATTATTTTACGTATCAAACTTCGTAAAAACGATAGAGGAGGGTCGTGAGAGGTCTAGGAATACTCCCCAATAAATTCCAGACCGATTCGTAGTCACCGGAGCATCCTAGAGCTCGCCGGAGTTACAAGTCGTGGAAGCGGGTCTTCAGCAAAAGCGGATATGTTGCCGTAGATAGGGGTGGCGGAGCTTCGTCTTGCCGTCAGGATCATTTTGCAACTTGAATCGTTGAAATCCGTTACCTGTAAGTCATGTTATAGATCGCCGAAGTTTTTTTAATTCCGGTCGCCGGAAACCCGACCTGGAGAAGAGCTGGGAAGAAGACAACCCAGTCTTCTTGGGGCGGGTCGTGTATTTAGGCCGGTTCGGCCCAGTTTCAATACAAATTAAAAATAAAATAGTAAATGAAATAAATAAAATCTGGAAAAATATAAATTAAATACCTAGTATAAATATACATATTCGGACCAACCAGAATTGAAAGATAATATTTTTATCTATTTTTAATTAATTTAATTGTAATTGAGCCAATTTGTACATATTTAGTAAATAATTAACTAAATGACGAAATAAATTACGAAATAATTATTGGAGTAAACTTGATTAAATATATGACTAACTAGGACATTTGGGACCATTTGTAATTAATAAAAATTATGATTAATATATTTAATTGAAATTAAACCGGTTAATAGAGATATGGAATTAAATGAATAAATAAGAGAAATAATTCTAAAATAAATATCTGGACAACCTAGGTCAAATATAGACACCAAATATAGTTATGAACTATTATAAATTTATAAAGTCGATTATTAAGCTATTTAATTTAATTGGGCCATATAAAACTAGTTAAGTAATTAAATAAGAAAATTGATTAATAATGCTGAAATAAATAAAATCACTAAGATGGGAAATAATATTATGGACTAAAATGAGGTTTGGAATAAAATAAAGAAAAGAAAATAAAGTTGGGATAGCTAGTATAAATGAATGACTATATTTGGACTTAATAAATAAATCATTTAATTAGTGGACTAATTAAATTAGTGTGATTAAATTAATAATTTTCATCCTTAATTGTTACTTTTTGGACTCCATATAAATTATTAAACTATATGAACTCATAAAAATTAGTTGATTAATACAAACTAATTAATTAAGTAATGTGTACTTGATAATTTAGTTAATCGACTCCATTAGACTAGTTTAACTAAATCAATTAGTTTAATGGATAAATTAATTAAGTTATGGACGTATTAATATTTTTGGACTTTATATTAAATATATAAAATTAAAACGAAATTAGAATTTGATTGATTGCGTTAATTGAATTAGATTAATGTAGTTAACTATATTTATATAATTAAACTTATTTAGTTGATGAAATTAATTAAATTAATTTAGTTAGCCAAATAAATAAACTGGAGGATTGAATTAGTTATGGTAATTGGATTAGTTAGTATAAATAAACTATTAAACTAATTAAAGTTATTATTGAGAATAGATTATCATTAATGATTAATATTTCGAATTATTGCTTACGGAAAATTATTATTCAAAGGTTTATTAAATAAATTATATAAGTTATGTAAACTGAAATTGAACTGAAATTGATTATTTAAATTCGAAATATTGAAACTATTATGTAATTAATTTAATTAGACTAGTTAACTAATTAACCAAATAAGTTAAAGTAAATTATGGAGGGGATTAGTATGATTAAAGAAAATAATAAGGTTGGATTGAAAAATTAACATGTAAATAAGATTTATGGATCTAACTTAAAAGTTGTATTTAAAGAAGGAATAATGAAGTTAAAATAACTAAAGGTTGAATAGATAGGAAATAACAAAAATAATAGAATAGTTATTGATTTAGAATTTTGATATATATTAGAAGGAGAATTCAAGTGAAGACCAAGCTAGAGATTTTATTAAGAGGATTATCGCAATTTAAGGTAAGTTCTATGTCTAGCAAAAATGTTTTATCTCGTATTTATATGTATGCAATATTTGAACTATGTGAACTATTTATGAATTGGAAACTATTTGTTTGACATGGAATGAATATTTTGAATGTATGGATATTGGTGGATTATTAACTATTATGGATTATTGAATGTATATTCTTGTTAATAAAGAATATTGGTGGATTGATATTTATTACAAAGTATATTTTTGGAAAGTGTGACAAGAATGACTTTGGGAAAAACTTAAAGTTTTTCATAATATATTTTTACGTCTCGAGAGAAACACGAGGCGTGGGTGATTAGGACTACTACTACTTTTGGTGAAATTTATTTGGGTCGGTAACAAGTCCGGCAATGACATGCTCCGGTAGACATCCCGGGCTTTTATTTGAGGACCAAAGGTCCTTTGGTGGTTGTAGTAGTAGTTACCTAATTTACCCCTGGACAATGTCCCTTGTGAGTAGGTGGTAGAAAACATCCTGCCTACTTGAGTTTCTTACTACTCGGAGGGCTTGGAATCCCTTTTAGAGGGTGTGCACACTTAAGGTAGAAATTCAGCTTCCAAATTGGTGGTCGGTGGGAGCCGGAATTCCGGGAGGAGTCGTAAATGACAATGACTCGTTGGGCTCGAGGAATCTTGAGTTTCGCCCACTCTTAAAAGAAATCTAAAGTATTAATTTTGGAGGAATTGAGGAATGACATTATCTATTGAAGAAATTATTTTGAGACATGAAGTTATTTTGGAGATATGAGAGGGTATTTTCTATATATATATACCTATACCAAACCTATTTTCCAAATTATATTATTTTACGGGTTCGAGTTGAATCTTACTTAGCTCTAAAGCTAATTTTTGTGTCTTTTGTCTTCTTCTCTTTTCTCTATTGTACAGATGATTATGATTATGAAGATTGATGTACTTGCTGTCCGAGTGTTCCGCTAGTCGCATACGTTTGATTAATTATCGTTGTTTAAATTTGTAATTCATAAACTTTGTCCTAAGACCCATTTCATTGTTATTTGAACTTATGGTGGATAGCCTGTGCACTCAATCATGTATAGGTTGAGTGTGGCGGTGACGCACCTGTTTTTCCCTTAAAGACTTCCGCTGTATTCTAAATATGTTTAATAATAAAGATGGTTTAATTTAAAAATGTGATTTTATTTGGGTGGGAAAAATGGGGGTGTTACAATAACGAAGTAAGATTCGTATCCACAGGCAAAGGAATACTCTTCTTTTATATAAGTAGTAAAAAGGGGGGTTTAGATTTGTTTGATTTAAAAATACTAAGATGAACAACCTATATGAGTTTGATTAATAGATGTGGAGGCTTGGTTTTGCTTTTATCCACTTAATGAAATGTTCGTCGATCTCGGTTATATCTTTAACTATCTTCCTCTCGAATACTCAATCGAGGAGTATATCCAGTTCATCGAGGGTAGTTATTAATAACGAGATGCGTTCATTAATTAAACTTACTATCGAGTCAATATAGAACAAGCGCCGTATATTAACTTGATAGTAGCAATAAACTTAAGATGAAAATGATTGAGATTGATAATGTAACACCCCGCCCCGTAGGGCCCGAGGTAGTTACTCCAGACCTCTCTCCGGACCTCTAGTACTGTCCTCACAAACCACCACGAGCTTTTACCGCACACTTTGTCCTCACTCGTGCGCGCCCTGAGAAACTTCCCAGGGGGTCACCCATCCCAAGACTACTCCCGTGCAAGCACGCTTAACTTTGGAGTTCTTAGCTGATGAGCTCCCTTAAAAGACGACGCACCTCTGTTGGTATGAGTAGTACTATTAATCCTCTTAAATTAATCTCGGGTATTACAATCACTCCCACTTAGGATCGCAACGTCCTCGTTGCGCCCATAAACCAATATCAATCATATCCCAGAATCTTTTCCCCTGCTAAGTGCCCGCCCGATATCTAATGGATCAGCACACTGTCGCAAGGTTGCTCTGATACCATTTGTATCACCCCGCCCTGTAGGGCCCGAGGTAGTTACTTCAGACCTCTCTCCGGACCTCTAGTACTGTCCTCACAAACCACCACGAGCCTTTACCGCGCACTTTATCCTCACTCGTGCGCGCTCTGAGAAACTTCTCAGAGGGTCACCCACCCCAAGACTACTCCCGTGCAAGAACGCTTAACTTTGGAGTTCTTAGCTGATGAGCTCCCTTAAAAGGAGATGCACCTCTGTTGGTATAAGTAGTACTATTAATCCTCTTAAATTAATCTCGGGTATTACAGATAACCTCAACACAAGCGGTTTATTGGTTTAATAAATATAATTAATTCCCCTTGGCATATTAACCATGATATGCATGCATTAATAAACCAAGTTTACTACCGTTGAAAGAACCGGATTAATAACAAGCGTATTAACCGATTGATTCTAGTAATAATTAATATGAGAAACAAAACTAGTTGATACTTTAAGTATTGTTCAAAATATTAACATGAAATATGAATATGAATTAATTAATACTCAAGGAAGAATATTAAAGAATATGAATCCTACTATGATTAATATCAAGATGTTAACTAATTGTCATCTTAGTAACACTCCCCAATATTAACATAGAGGAAGAAATAACTATTACTATAACCAATGTCAAGATGTTAACTAATTGTCATCTTAGTAACACTCCCCAACTTTGATATAGAAATAGTATTTTAAAGGAAGAATTAATATTCAAGGAAGAAGATTAAAGAAAATAACTCACAACTTACAAATTCATTAAGCTTCAAAGTAGCAAAACCAAGATGGAAGAGTTTAGCTCCTCATTTGGAGACTAAACATGATGAAAAATATAAAGAAAGAACTATTCTATACTGAGCTTAGATGTACAAAGGAACTGGATGCTCGTTTGTGAAGGAAAGGGGGTGTATTTATAGGCTTTTGGGATGGGATTCGGGTACTTGATCGGGTATATACATGGTACCCGATCGAGTATGTGTGTAATACCAGATTCGAGGTATACTCGATCGGTTTTAGGCTATGTTCCAAAGGTATACCCGATCGGGTATATGTTTATACTCGGTTGAGTATGTGTAGAAAGTGATATTCGAGCCATACACGACCGATTTTACGTTTAAACTCAAAGGCATACCCGATCGGGTATGTCGGTCTACCCGATCGGGTATAGACACTCAATCGTGGCCGAAATCTTCCCGTCATGTTCCCTTGTCTTCGGATCTGATCTGATTTGAAGTTTCAACCTAATACCCGATCGAGTATAGGTGATACTCGACCGAGTATAGACCAAAATTTCAGGATCCTTCTTTCTTTTTTATTTTGCACCTTCCTTCCACTTTTTGGGGTTCACCAATTGTCCTTTGAGTGATCAAGACCTTTTTGAGCTCAGAATATACCTAATCTAAACTATTTACAAGAATTTAACAAACTAAACTTATACACCAAAAGTGTGTAATTTCCAAAGTAAAAATCAAGCAAAACTAATTAAAAACACAAACATACATATGGAAATTTCAAACGTATCAGTAGGTTATTTTCAGTTTGAGGGCATCTTCTTCGGCCACTTTTCCCATTTTGGGGTATTTGTTGTTTGGACTGTCACCAGAGATGATGCCCATAGCAACTTCCTTACTGCGAGTGAATTTCTGGGGGAGCGACTTCCGTTTTCTGAGCATGTGGTTAGGTTTTTCCGAAAGGGGGACAATAGGAGTAGGTGTTGGAGATAATTGTTTGCCATTGCTCTGTCCCCGCTGAGACGAGGCCGGTGAAGGAGGGAGGTCGTGCATGCTTGCTTTGCGACTACCAGACTCGCAATTGTTGGATTCCATGATGGGTGAAGAAAGATTTTGATTAACCTCGATAGTTAGTCTATTGAAACTTTTCCGAACCTTGATTTTGGGTAGAGAATCAAATTTAGAAAGAAAGGTTTGTAGATTCACCTCAAAGTTCTCTTGGTCGGATTCTGCATCGGAGTGGGCCATGAGACATATGCCAGCTTGATTTAGTCTCTTATCGCTTTCATTCCCATCATCATTTGATGAGTCTCCCCAAGCAGCCATCATTGCCTTTTTTAAATCTTTATTGAAGCTTTTATCTTCGTTGAACCACCGAGTAGAACTCATCTTGTTCCTTTCTTGGGTTCTGTCATTCTTCTTCCGCGGACAATCTTTTGCTTTGTACTCAAATGATCCACAAACAAAGCTTCTGTTGAGGACAAACAACTAGTGTTACTTGTGTTGTATAAACTGATTGCATGAAAAAAGTTTAAGTCGTGCTCTGGAACAAGCCGTAGACGCTGTCCTAGAACTACCCTGCGAATCCAAGATTGATTAATATGGCTTACTTAAAATATCTTTTGTCACGCCCCAGACCTACCCGGACACGTCAACAACCCGCCGTACAGTACGAACAGTCAAGCGCAGTTTGACTCATCCATACTATACAAGGCGTCTTGAATACCATTCACACATAGTACATCCATAAACAAACATAATGTGAAATAAACATTTATAGCAGCGGAAACATTTAACGTAAGTGTTTATGCCACACCTTGGCAATCATGGGCGTACAAGCCCCCAAATAATTATTCAAAAAGATAATATCCATGAGCATTATTTAAGTTGTTTCAAAACAGAAACGGAAGAAGCACGAACCACGTCTTCTCCCTTTGATCTTCCCGAAGCGACGGGCGGTGGCAGCAACCTTCAAGTTCTACCTGAAACTGTGAGGTGGCCTCCCCCGTGAAGGGGAGGTCAGTACTTGGAAATATTTGACAAGTACAATAGCAACTATACTAGGTATAATTGATGTTTTAATTTCTAAGACCCTCGACTTAGGGTACTATTATATTATAGGCCATAACCCTCGGTTACCCCTTTTTCTTTTAACTGCACTTACTTTATATAGAGTCAAGTAGTCGGCCCGTGGGCCCATATTCATTTAGAATTCATCATTTCCATTCCCCCCGTGACCGCAAGTCACGATAACCCCGTGGGGTCCCATCGAGCCCCAATTGTATAGCATGGGCTCGGCCCAGCTACATTTCTATACAATCCTCGAACTCAATATAACATATCAAAATTTGTATGGCAAGGGCTCGGCCCAACTACGTTTCTATACCAACCATAACTTCGTGGCAAGGGCTCGGCCCAACTACGTTTCCATGCTAATCATATTACATGGCATGGGCTCGGCCCAACTACATTTCCATGTCATCCTAGAGTCCAAACTCTAACTATCTTCATAATCAAATTCTCAAGCAAATCCTATGCCTAGAATCAATTCCCGTAGGTGGCCTTTAGGCCTACCCCTATCACACCTTAGTGTTCATACAATTCAGCCTTAAGTATCTCTTGAGACTACTTAAGGCATATCTATTCACAATCCTACCTCTTAGGATTTGTTTCACCATTAATTTATATTAACTTCCCGACTAGTATTTTGATACTAGTTGTATAATCTTAGAACATGCCAAGTTCCTATTTTCCATTTGGCATTTCATTTCAATTGATTTCCCAACCCAAGTATAGTTTGATCTCAATATCAAAAATATCACTTTAATCCATTCATGAATTTTCATACATGAAGTAAAGTATATTTTATCACAATGTCATCATAGCAATTCCATTAACATGCCGTTCCATTCATTTCACATAATCATACACAATTATTCTAAATTTGTATATCATGCTTCACTTACTCATATCCATATTATTTTCATTTAGGCATTATTAATCATTAATAATCCATGAAAATCCCATCTAATTACTTTAGGCAATCTTATGAAATTAACTCACTAATTATAAGCAATATAGTCAGCCATCCTCACCTTATGAAGTGCTGAAATAGTTGCCTTTGTCATGCCCCTAGATCAATCCCCGTTCTAGGCCGATTGGAGGTGTAAAACTGAACTGCTGGGCCAAAGCCGGGCGGCTTTCACGAAAGCCGGGCGGCTTTCGTGGTCTGCAACTACGACTAGCTCCTTTGAAGTGGCGGTTTCCGGTGGTTTCGACTCCTATCGATTGGCCAACCCTCCTAAGTTAATTACCACCACTTTATATCAATATTCTACACTTTTGAACGTGTAGAACTCATGATTTAATCCACCGTATGATTTCTTAAAAATCACGCACAATAAAACTAGTTAAAGAGTAGAAATTGTGTTCTTACCCTCTTCTTCTAGCTTTTCTTCTTGGATCCTTCTCTCCTCTTGGTTTCTTCAGCTCCAGAACTTGAGAGCCTTTTCCCTAGACCTTATCTCCCTTGTGCTGGCCGAATGGATTGAAGAGAGGGTAGAGGAGAGGTCCTTTTCAACCAACACAATGATTTGTGTGGGATAGGACCCTAGCATGGGTTTTTGTCTCAAAGGAGACTTCCTCCCTCTCTCTTGTGCGTACCACCACATTTAGCTGCTCCCCTCCCCCATTATTTGATCAATCAGCACCCATAAAAACGTGGGGTGGCCCCCACTTATGTGGGAGGTCATCCCATTACGTCCCGGTGTGTACAATCGGCCCCGAAAGTTGTACTTCTCGGTCCGTTTTAATCATATTTTATTTTATCGGGCCAAATAAAATATATCACGTGTTCCTAATAATTATGCGCCTTTAGAATAGATGTATATTCCCCAACATTAATTTAGGAGTCTCCGAAACTCATTTCGGGCTGTTATCCGTTAAATTGCCAATACCGGTAATTGGGCCCCGTTTGACCAACCGGTCAACTCCATGCCTTTCTTATGGCCCAAATAGAATATCCACCCCCATATAGGTGTCATCTAGACCAAGATGAATATAATATGTGGTTCGGGAATTATCGGGCGGTCCACGTTCCCGCTGTGGGCCCCACATGCAATTTACTATTCACGTAAAAGAAATAATGAAATTTAATAATTACGCAAATTCATAAATCATCTTTCAAGGTTTATTACATAATTTACTAAAAGTAAATATGCTCGGGGTCGGTGTTACAAGTTCACCCCCCCTTAACGGGAATTTCGTCCCCGAAATTCACAATGCTCATTCAAACAAAAATGCGTATTGCTCTTTCATCAAAGCTTCCGTCTCCCAAGTTTCCTCCTCAACTCGGTCAATTTTCCAAAGGATTTTAACCATTGGAACTTTCTTGCTTCTCAATTTCTTGACTTGCCTGTCAAGTATCTTCACCGGTTGCACGGCATAATTCAAGTCTTCCCGTATTTCCACGGGTGGTTTTTCTAATACATGAGATGGATCCGGCATATACTTCTTAAGCATGGACACGTGGAATACGTTATGTATCTTCTCCAATTCTGGAGTCAACTGTAATCGGTATGCCACGGCCCCAATCCTCTCAAGAACCACGAATGGCCCTATGTATCGTGGGTTAAGTTTCCCTCGGCTCTGAAATCGGATGATTCCTTTCCAAGGGAAAACTTTCAGAAATACTTCATCTCCCACCTTAAACTCCAAGGCTCTTCGGCGCTTATCGGCATAACTTTTCTGTCTATCCCGGGCCGCCTTAAGTCTCTCACGAATCATCTTCACCTTAGACTTGGTGATCTCCACCAATTCCGTGCTCTCGAGTTTGGCCATGCCAACCTCATCCCAACACAATGGTGTACGACATCTCCTCCCATACAATGCCTCGTATGGAGGCATGCCTATACTTGCATGATAACTGTTGTTATAGGTAAACTCCACAAGTGACAAATGGTTGTCCCAACTCCCTTGGAACTCCAATGCACAGGCTCTCAGCATATCCTCTAATATCTGTATAACCCGCTCAGATTGCCCATCCGTTTGTGGATGAAAAGCTGTACTGAATTTCAACTTTGTCCCCATAGATTCTTGGAATTTCGGCCAAAATCGTGATGTGAATCGCGGATCTCTATCAGATACAATGGTTATAGGAACCCCATGTAGCCTCACGATCTCATCCACATACAACTTGGCTAACCTCTCCAGTGCATAGGTGGTGTTGATAGGTAGAAAGTGTGCACTCTTTGTGAGCCTATCGACCACAACCCATACATCATCATAGTTCTTAATCGTCCGTGGCAGCCCCACCACGAAATCCATAGTCACGTGCTCCCACTTCCATTCAGGAATGGAACGTGGCTGTAGTAACCCAGCCGGATGCTGATGTTCTGCCTTAACTTGCTGACAAGTAAGACACCTACTGATGTACTCGGCTATTTCCCTCTTCATACCCGACCACCAGTAACTTTCCTTCAAATCACGGTACATCTTCGTGCCTCCCGGGTGCATGGCATACGCCGATGAATGAGCCTCCTCTAAGATGGACTTTCGGAGCTCATCATCCAACGGTACACACACTCGGTCACGAAATAATAAGAGACCATCGTCTCTCTCCCTGAAATCCTCAACCGGTCCCGCTAGCATGCGTTCACGGATCTTCATAAGTTCTTCGTCGGTTTCTTGACCCTTCTTGATTTCATCAAGTAATGTAGGTCTCACCTCGAATCTAGCTAACAAGGCACCATCGCTAGATACCTCCAATTGGGCTCTCAATGCCCTCAAGCTAGTCAATAATGCCCCAGATGATTTTTTTCGGCTCAAGGCATCCGCTACCACGTTGGCTTTACCGGGGTGGTACTCGATAACTAGATGGTAGTCTTTTATCAACTCCATCCACCGTCTCTGTCTCATGTTTAACTCTTTCTGAGTAAACACGTACTTCAGACTTTTGTGGTCGATGTATATATGACATGTTTCCCCGTAGAGATAATGTCTCCAAATCTTCAATGCGAACACCACCGCCCCCAGCTCTAAGTCATGAGTGGGATAATTTACCTCATGCTTCTTCAACTGTCGTGAAGCATAGGCAATCACCCTCCCATTCTGCATCAAGACACATCCAAGCCCTTCGATGCTTGCGTCGCTGTAGACATCGTACCCCACACCCTGTTTGGGTAGTGCGAGTACCGGTGCCTCGGTCAATCTCTTCTTCAGTTCAAGGAATCCCTTCTCACATCGGTCATCCCATACAAACTTGGCCCCTTTCAAGTGAGCTTTGTCAATGGCGATCCCAACACCGAGAACTTCTCCACAAATTTTCGGTAGTACCCTGCCAATCCAAGGAAGCTACGAATTTCCTTGACGTTCTTTGGCCTCTCCCATTCAGTAATGGCCTCAATCTTCTTGTTATCTATGGCAATCCCTGATCCTGAAACCACATGCCCGAGGAAGCCAATCTCCTTTAGCCAAAATTCACATTTGGAAAACTTGGCATAGAGTTGCTTCTCCCGTAGTGTCTCAAGAACAAGTATCAAGTGCTCCTCATGCTCTTCTTCACTCTTTGAGTAAATCAAGATATCGTCTATGAACACAATCACAAACCAGGCCAAGTATTTATGAAATACTCGGTTCATCAAGTCCATAAATGCCGCCGGGGCGTTGGTTAGCCCGAACGACATAACTAGGAACTCGAAATGACCATACCTTGTGCGGAATGCACTCTTCGGTATGTCATTCTCCTTTATTTTCAGTTGGTGGTACCCCGACCTCAAGTCAATCTTTGAAAATACCGTCGCTCCTCGGAGCTGATCAAACAAGTCATCAATCCTAGGCAAGGGATATCTATTCTTGATTGTGACCTTGTTCAGTTGACGATAATCAATGCACATTCGAAGCGTTCCATCTTTCTTTTTCACGAAAAGGACCGGTGCTCCCCACGGAGAGTGACTCGGCCTTATGAAATCGTTATCCAATAGCTCTTGCAATTGGATTTTCAACTCGTTAAGTTCAGCGGGTGCCATTCTGTATGGCGGTATAGAGATTGGTTTGGTGCCGGGTTCGACCTCGATCACGAACTCAATCTCCCTATCGGGTGGAAGTCCCGACAAGTCTTTTGGGAAGACATCCGGATACTTGCACACAACTCTCACATCGTTGATGTCTACCTCTTCTTTGGTTTTGTCCACCACATAAGCTAGATATGAGTGGCATCCTTTTCTCATCATATTCCTCGCCCTCACGGCGGATATGATACAACTGTTTGATTTGCCTCTATCTCCCTCGAAGCTTAAGGTCAAACCTTCACCGCTTTCAAGTTCGAGAACCTTCGTATAACAATCAACCCTAACATGATGCTTCTCTAGCCAATCCATCCCGAGGATCGCGTCGAACTCGATCATGCTCAGCGGTACGAAGTCACACGTCAAGTTCTGTCCCTCCACCTCCACCTCACACAATGGATAGTGGCTATCCCTTTCGATATCATCCCCTAGAGGCGTGGATACCAATAGGGTTTGAGTCATCGGTACAAGTGGTCCGTTGAATCCGCTGGCGAACGCCTCACTCACAAATGATCGTTGCGCCCCGGTATCAATAAGGATCCTTGCGTCTCTCCCGTTTATCTTTAGTGTTCCTACATTCATAAGTAATGTAAGACACGCTATCTAATCAATAGGCTTGTTTCTTAAGTCGTAGAGTATGTTGGTCGTGTTTCGGGTGGAGTCCGTTCGATACCCTTCCAAAATTTCCCGGTTTCTAGCCTTTAGGACCGTTCTAGGACTAAGCCAGGTGAAAGCCGGCCGCTTTTCACGAAAGCCGGCCGGTTTTCGTCTGCGAGAAAATTCTTGTATGTAAATCACGAAAGCCGGCCGGTTTTCGTCGCCGCAGTTTTTATTCATGGAATGGGTTTCGAAGCCGGCCGGTTTCTACGAAACCCGGCTGGGTTTCAGCAGCGCAGGAATCCCCAGGCCCAACGAAAGCCGGGCGGCTTTCGCCAAAGCCGGACGGCTTTCAGCTGCGAGAAATTTCCCCAGGTCAGTCATTTATGAAAGCTGGCCGGTCTTTACAAAAGTGTTGAAGACTATTTTATTGTGTTTCAAGTTTGTCTGTTTTGTCTGTAATAATTTAGATGTTTACTATTTCTGTTCTGCACTGATTAAATATATCTGTTAGAATAGTATTCAATATGGGCCAAGTGTTAGGCCCATACTTAGGCAAGAAGCCTTTTTACGCATACCTGAGCCTCTCCTATAAAAAGGGGCGGAGGACTCAGGTTTGCGGTTAACTTTCGTATCTGCTCAAAATAGCCTTAGCGCTTATCATTCTTGTACGAAAGGTTCACGGTATATCAGAGAAGGTTTACACTTGATCTTTCTGTGTTCATCTTTGTTGTTAATCTTTCATCTGTAAGCCATATTATACTGTTGTTATAGAAAACAGGGACTAACAAATGGTATCAGAGCCGATCGAGAGCTGATCAGAAGAACTATCTGCGAAAGAATCTGTTTTTGTAGAATAGCGAGTTTATCATCT